TGAAAAGTTGTTTATGATAGCGTAAGTAAAAACTCGAACTATTATTGAGTTGTTCTTTTTCAGGCTTAACTTCCCTCCGCCCTTTCCCCACATACATACATAAACACACATGCACGCTCGCACGCACGCACACACACAGACACACACACACACACACACACACACACACACACACACACACACAGGCACACACACGCACACACATATACAAACACACATACACACACGCACGCACGACCATGTACTGGACACATTGATTTGGCTAACATAATTTTAATTATTCATAGTAAAGTCACGAGTACGAATCCTAAGAGACAAGCTGGAAAACCTTAAAGTTTTACACAGAAACTGTCCAAGAGTGTGCGAGCTCTTATGCAATAAGTGTAACGACATGGAATCAGGCACTTGTCAATTAATTTTTGGGCATGTGAAGTTTATTGATCGTATCTTAGTTTTAGTTTTAGTTTTAGTTTTAGTAGAGGTTTTACGGCACTCGCAACTGCATAAGGTCATATGAGCGCCAGAAGATTAGTGGTGTTACAAGAGAGTAACAAACATAAAAAAGAAGAAAGGGAGATAAGGATGATAGATGTTTCATAAGAAAGAAGAAGCAAACCACACCAGAGCACCCACCAACCACCCACTCTTGATCGTATCTTAAAGCCTGTTCTTTTATCTTGCTTTTGGTGAAAAAAATATCCACCTATCTGAAGTAGAAGAAAGGATATTTGCGATTGAAGGGTATGAGGGTTGGCTGGTGTCAGAGGTAACATTAGCAAGAAAATGTCCGCCAACGTTTGGTGACTTCCAAAGCTTGAGAGTCCTTGGAAAATGGAAATTTACATTTTTTTAAAAGCCTTTAATTCCTTTTTTTATTGGAGTAAAAATCACACATGAATTTTTAGGGCGAAAAATGTATAAATCCGAAAATTAAAAAAAAATCGACAAGTGTGAAACGGGCGGGAAAAAAAATCTTTTTCTTCGATTTCATTAATCTGACAAGCGCCTGATTTCACTACGATGCCATTCATATTGTGATAACTACGTGAGAAGCGTAGAGGAGCGTAAGTATTTATTCGTAGGAGAGAGATCCTTCTCATGTCAAATGGGATACACCTTAACCATGTAAACATATTATTATAATGTATAGAAAACATTATCAAGCAATTGGCATTCAAGCACCAGACTACGTGTCTAAGAAACAGAACAAAAACAAAACGTTGATCATTATGCATCAAATTACAGTACTAGAAATTATGTTGAAAGGCATTTTAGCACTATTATTCGGCAAAATCAAAGTGAAGATCTGTTTTGGGAGTTAGCTTTTAGCTCACCTCTTGGTATGGAACGAAAAGGATTGCACATCATCTATGATTAAGGGTGTTATAAAAATTTAGAAGTGGAACTTCAAAGTTAAGCCTTTAAAACTAAGAACTATTCAGCAAAGTCTCTAGAATTTTGGAACCAATCCTCCAACATGCTAATGAGTATGGCGTCCTTTTGGAGAGTATTTCAAGGCTCGCTAAAGCAGTGCACAAGGACAGGTGTTCCAGGATCCATCATCCACTCTTTTATGCCGTTAGCAGAAGAGGTTTTTTTTTCTTTGTAGCGCCAAGTATGTTCATGAACTTACACTTTGTCCGGACTAAATTCGTGCTTTTTACGAAAGGAGAGCAAGGTCATTTTCCTTGTATCCTGAGATTGTATTGTGAGTATGGATTAATCAAAAGCCTGGTGAACACGCATATAGGTATGGCAATAATAGTATGTCTTACTGCTTTAAAACTTAGGAAGCAGTGAGTAAATGAGATTTGAGTTCTTGATCTTAGATTTATCCCACTAAATCTGACAAGACAAATGTCAGCATCACATTTTGGGCTCATATTTATCAAATATTATTAATGTCTCTTCTTCCATTTCTCTACCGCATTTATTTTGGGAGAGACAGACACAGAGCTTATTCATCTTTATCTGGGGTTTTTTTTTTTAGATCTATCTGAACGATCTAACAATGTGTGCCATTGCGAAACAGTAAAAAAACACCCAAAAAGGTTAATTGATAATATGGGGTGGATGCAATCTCCGAAATTTGCCCCTCCCAATATCATTTACTCTTTGAAGTGGTAAGTTTAATGAATGTCTAAAAAGTGCATTCTGCCTTGTCAATTGACAACAATGTTTAGTCTGTCCAACGACAGATGAATTAAAGCACAGAGAGTACTTATTTTTAGTACTGAAAAAGTGGTACTGAAGTACTGTTCAATGGGTCTTCGCTCAGGCTGGGCTGAAAGTCCTGTTCCAGTTCCAGCCATTAGACCTTGGCTTTGCCAAAATACTATTGCGATCAAATTGTCCTCTGCCCAGTCTGGTACGTGGCAAACGCTATCAGCTAAACAAATGTTTGAAGTTCGAATCACAAAGGTATTCGGCCTTCTTTTCTCTGCACCTCCTGGGGAATCTCTTGGCTTTCGAAACAAGTACGTATAATGTAATTGAGCATTTATTTAGTTCCACATCTATCAGCTTCTCAGCACGCGCAGTTGTGAGATCACTTCCACTTTCCTTTCTTTTCTTCGATTTTTCAGGAATTCTTACTGAACACACGACAGTTGAGACAAGCGCATGTGGCAAGGTACGGTCCTGCAGCTCAGCAATCAGTACGACGACGTTCGTCATTTCCGGAAATACAAACGACATCATTCAAAATAGTGACGTCACGTCACCATCAGAAACTGCTCACAGTTGCAGATTCAACAGGGTAATGTAGTCTCTTGTCATGAGTGTCCACTGCATTTATCAGACAGTTGTTGAACTGTTGACATCAGGATCGGGACTCCGAGATACAGTTCTGTCCTTGACTAGAAGCCTGTGGTTGGTGTAAACCGTTACAGAAGTGCTGTGTGGTGTGGATCGGAATATGCTCGTCTCACTGGGGATGTATTAAAGAACGAAAGAGATTACTTTTTTTGTTTTATTATGGCTTGAAAATTGAGGTTAACGGGGTGTTAATACACAAATGAGGACAAAACACATCAAAGTTTAAAATTGTACTGTTGTAGCATCCTTTAATATGGGATTTTGTTTATATTTGGTTAAGATTTGCTTGTCGTTTTAGTTGGGGGGTTTTTATGGGATGGGAAGCCTTGTCTTTTCTTGCATCTGTCCAAAGCGCGAAAATCGTATTGTGTACTCACAATAGTCAATCATTGCTGTTAAATATGAAAACAAAACAATATATTTCGCCAGTAATAAGTACAAATTTCATTTGTCTTACTAGATTATGGGATATGTGACGCCATAGTTCGTTTTACTTTAACATTATATTTAAAATTTGTTTTAACTCTCTGACCGTATACAGTAGTGAGTTGGGCTTGTGGGAAATGGGGGGGGGGGGGCGTATCAAAACATAGAGATGGGCCAGAGAGAGAAAGAGAGAGAAAGAGAGACGACGAGAGAGAGAGAGAGAGAGAGAGAGAAGAAGAAGAAGAAGAAGAAGAAGAAGAAGAAGAAGAAGAAGAAGAAGAAGAAGAAGAAGAAGAAGAAGAAGAAGAAGAAGAAGAAGAAGAAGAAGAAGAAGAAGAAGAAGAAGAAGAAGAAGAAGAAGAAGAAGAAGAAGAAGAAGAAGAAGAACAATAGCAACAACAACAACAACAACAACAACAGCAACAAAAACAAGAGAGATACGACATTTGGAGAGATAGAGAAAGAGAGAGAGAGAGAGAGAGAGAGAGAGAGAGAGAGAGAGAGAGTGAGAAAGAGAGAGAGAGAGGGAGAGAGAGAGAGAGAGAGAGAGAGAGAGAGAGAGAGAGAGAGACAGAGACTCATAACTCTTCCCGTTGATGCACCGATACAGCGTCCGCCTGAATGCCTTGCGGTATCGCTTTGACATGACGTTGTAAAGGATCGGATTCACGGTGGAGTTGAAGAAGTAAAGCACTCCTAGCAGAAAAAAAGAAAATTGAAACAAAAGAGAGAGAGAGAGAGAGAGAGAGACAGAGACAGAGACAGAGACAGAGACAGAGACAGAGACAGAGACAGAGACAGAGACAGAGACAGACAGACAGACAGAGACAGAGAGGAAAAACCAAACAGACATAAACATGATCTTTAGTTATATATAGAAAAGTGTTGACCTGTACTCATAACTCTTCCCGTTGATGCACCGATACAGCGTCCGCCTGAATGCCTTGCGGTATCGCTTTGACATGACGTTGTAAAGGATCGGATTCACGGTGGAGCTGAAGAAGTAAAGCACTCCTAGCAGAAAAAAAGAAAATTGAAACAAAAGAGTTCAAAAGTGTCTCATGATCTTCCTTGTGCGGAAATCGAACTCGTGTTTTTTTGTGATGAGGAGAGCAAGGCATATTATACCCATTTCACTATAGAAGCCGAGATTAGCCAACTTGCAGATAAAGGAACAAAAATGATACTAAAACTCCCAAAAAATGTAGGTCTTGGGCAATACATATTTCCCATACTCAATATGTTTTCTGGGATAGGCATTACAAGTTTCGTTTACCTCCGAAATACCTTTGAAGTTCTAATGAAAAGTCTTTATTTTAAACAAATAGAAATCTGTATAACTCAGAGACAGATATACAAAATTAAGGACTTATAAAATCAAATATCATACACTTATTTCTCGCATACTAATATTACTACGAAAGCAGTTTCATCGGCGTCTGGAGCATAACATTAATATATATTATACAGTCTTACTTATGAGATATCGTCAACAATGTTAACGATGATCAAGAACAAGGCATTCTACTTTCTAAGAAAAAGAAAACAGATTTCAACGTATATCTATCCCAAAGGGCTTGAAGCAAAAAAAAGTCTAGTCATTTAGACACAGCCGAAACATTAATGGGATCGATTTTAAAGCAAATTTATAGACTTGATGTGGAGGGTGAGATTGTGCAGATCAATAATTACTCGGCATATAAACAATGTCGACAGACTATTGACAAAACATGGTGTTATTAACAAATCATTTTTTATGCAACAACGTATTTGTTGTTTAAATTGTCATTGTTTTAGAGCATTACACGTACCATCACGTTTATCTTAGCTAGAAGTCAATTCCAAGACTCACACACTGGACTCCTCATTTTCAATCATAACACACGTGTTTTGGTCCGGGTACATCAAAAGAGCTTAGCTGGAGCGGGCAAAATTGTTTTCAAATGTGATCGTGGCAATTCAAATGTCACAAGCCACACCATGTCAGGTAAATGTATCAACAAAATAATACTTGTTAGGTGTTTCCGCCGTAAACAAGTCTCCTTGAAAATTAATCTTTCTGAACAAGATTCTCTGAAACTTGGTGAGCGATATAATATTTTCCAAATTAATTTGCACGGTGAGTCCCAATTTGGGTAATTTTGACACCCGGATTTTTCTTTCATTTCGTGTATCCCTCCAAAACTTTTGGAGCCCTGACCCCTTATGTTCTACAGGACATGTGTTTGAATATCCTATGGACGTCAGCTACATTTACATCATTTCACGATGAATTAATCGGTAACTGTGGTGTAGTAATTAAGGGGGGGGGGGCTACACCTGGAGGCTATCTCGCTTATTACTGGACCGAATTTTACCACATTTCACACATATAACAAGCATAGTAAGGAGTCTTGAAATCCGCAATCAAATTTGAGAAAAAAGTTTCGTTTCCATGGATACGCCGCCATATTGGATTTTATTGACACGTCTTACGTAATGAATACCGCACTTATCACTCATGGAAATTGATTGTTTTTTTGCATGCGTGTTCACAAACATTAGATCTAAACATTTGTCTGTTGTTTTTTTGCTAAACGAATTACACAATTTTTAATTAATTTTTTTTCTGAGGTAGCATTCAAGTTTGCGAAAAATCCGTGAAAATTCACACTCCAGACACCACCAACAAAAATTTATTCCATATATAAAAAATTCAACAGAAAAATTTTAGCATTACCTCTTCTCTTCATTCTGTGAAAATTTCATGAACATTGGATGAAAAATGGTGGAGTTATTCAAAAAAGTATAAACAAAAGTAGCATTTTGAGAAAACGGCCGATAAAGAAAAATAAAATACTAACTTTAAGAGGAAATGGCGGTTACAAACATGCCCGGTATGGGAAAAAATACGATTTTTGGGGGTTCCTATGCCATGAAATAGTTGTAGGAGAGGCTGAGGAAGCTAAAAATGGCTACAACTCAAATTCCATGATTTTGAGCCGAATTTTGATTTTGGGGGTGTAGCCCCCCCCCCCCCCCCCTTAAGAAGACTCTCTAGTTCTGCTTGGACGGTGTATCTCTCTAAGACCGGGTTTGCTCTGAAAGGCAGGGTCGAAGCATTCCTCCTAAATGATCTAAATTTTCTCCAATGGGTTGCAAACTGTCTTCATTAGAAAATAAGATAGTGCAAGCGTGCGCTCCGGTTCTACTGGTTGAAATTAGCTTTTCAAAAAAGTTTTGTTCAAAATTTTGCAGCACTTGCAACACATTTAAGGCTTCAAAAATCCGAAGATAAGAGGTGCTACAAGAGTGTAACTTACAAAGAAAAGGAAGAAGACAGATACAAATGAGCAATGTCTGAAAGGAGAGAAGGTGCAATTCACACCACCACAGCTCCCACCAACCATCTACTTGGTTCAAATTACCTGAGATATAAAAGATATAGGTCTGTAGCTGTAACAGGTTGTCCGTCCAGGCGTCCGCGGGGACGTAGATGGTCATCAGACGCTGTGTATGGAAGGGAGCCCAGCACAGGAAGAAAGCGATCACCACAGCCACTGGTGATTAAACAAAACATACAATATCGTGGAATGAGTAACAGGGGCTACTTTGAATGTAAAAAGACTCCATTGAATCACGTAAAACTGAATTAATGGTCAAGTTATGTGCTAGGCTGGTTTTTTCTTGATACCATAACAATACCTTGTAACACCTGGTACATAGTTACTTGAGCTTCGTTGGTTGATTTTTCATCGGACTTTAGCACGACTCAGCCCCTAGCTGTCGATAAAAAATGTTAAAACTGAAAGCTGATGTACCTATCACTGTGTGGATAATTCGACTTTTCCACTGCAAGGTCACAGTATTATGAAACTAAATCTAAATAAAAACCGGGATAGACATTATTTAAACAAAAACAGGGGCGCCCTTGGGTTGTGTTCTGAAGACAGTTTTAGACAACATCTCAACCAACAACCATGTAAACACGCAAATAGATATTATCATCGTCATCATGAAATCTGCTGATTATTCACTCCTTTTGGGGGATCATCCATTACAACGTAAAAAGGCTTGTGTTCTTGAGAGAGTAAATTCTTTGTTGAATGGTATATGGAATATATATATGGAGAACTTTCTGGAAGTATAATATTATAATGACAAAGTCATTTTATTTTAGCTATTTTGACCACAGTTCTTCAGTCTTAGAAAAACACAACAACTATGAAACTGGTAAAGGGACCTAGGCATACATATTCTAAGGGGTCGCTGCAGACCACAAACTGTCCTGGAACGAAAAAACAGGTAGCTTTGTAGGTCCATCCGATAACTGTTAGTGAGAGTGTGAATGCATTTGTGTATGTAAGTGTGTGGTGTGTGTGGTGGAAGAGAGGGGGAATGTATCTGATCTGATCTGATCTTATCTTATCTTAGCGCGCTCATATATCCTTATGTAGTTGCGAGCACCGTAAACCATCTTACCAAACTATGTATATTTTATTTCATCTTATCCCCTGAAGTTTAATGTCGAAATATTATTTTGGTAAGGTGTAACACTTCTTTTAGCACTAAAGTTACTTAAGAGACGAGAATTCTGATTTGATAGTAGAATCCAACGCACTTGAGTTTCAAGAAAATTACACCCAACAGCCGCAATTATTGTATCACTACGCGAAGCTAGAAAATAATAATAATAATAATAGATAGCATTTGTACAGCGCATATCCCCGCTCAACAGCAGGCTCTATGCGCTTTACACTATATTATTACCCCAGCAGACCATAGAACACTCCGAAACATTCTCAGCTTCCTGGGAAGCATACAGTGCGAGCAGCCGATTAAGCGCTCAAACACTAACAAACTGACAAGATCTTTCGCTGTCTATAGCCGGGTACCCATTCCCACCTGGGTGAAGTGAGGAAAATTCGTGTAAAGTGCCTTTCCCAAGGATACAACGTCGGGCCCCTGACGGGATTCGAACCCACGACCTTACGGTTGCGAGTCCGAGAGCCTAACCACTAGGCCACCGACGGGACAAAACAAAAAAGTAGCCTTCAGCCCAATTTCTGTTCACTTTAAGACAACACCTCTCTACCCATCCAACTCCCCCCCCCCCCTGTTTTTTCCAGAAGGTCAGTTATCATAGTGTTGAACCAAGCACCACATCTCCAAAATCAAATATAATAATATTTTAAAGACGCAGCGCTATACCGATTAGCTTCAAGTCAAACATTTGAACCGGCACCTGTGGTGTAGCCTTGCGGTTAGACTCTCCGCCGTCACACGAGTATCCTTGTTTAAAATCGTTGTTCCTTTTGGTCCCCCCCCCCCCTTTTTTTTTTTTTTTGTTTTTCCCCCGCTTTGTTCTGTGTCATTTCCAGCGTCTAGCTCTTCAATCTCGAGAAGAAGCAAAACCACTTCCGCAGAGACGTTTCCAGTTAGTCGACTAGAATTATGTTATTGCAGGATTTTCCAACATATTGCACGCCACAGAAGCAGTGTAGATGGATATCTTGACGGCAATGAGTCTAATCAAGAGGGATTGCCTCTTAAGCTTCTTAATCGGTAGTATGATGGCATACGTTAAATATACTCTGAAGTAGCTATAAGCAATCTGATTTATATTGGCTTATTGAAAGTGAGATAAATTCGTCTAGACGTGTTGATTTACATCTCGACCAGGAGGGAATGTAGCTTCAGTTCTTTTCCTCCGTGACGCAGTTGCACACTTGGCAGTCTGAAAATCAATTTAAATTCCCAATTTCCCTACTACATATACATGGAAATATGACATTTTTAACACCCAAGCAGTATTCTTGAAGTGTGTATTCCATTGTTAAAATCTTTCTAGAATATTCTTAAGTCATATTGTGGGGTGGGGTGGCTGCTACAAACAAGCTAGCAACCTGGCATTGAAATTAACTTTGGAACATTGACATGAAGCATTGCCTGCGAAATAAAGCTATTTTCAGATTTTGTTGATTAACAGATGGGTCAATTTTCTGTTATTGATACGGAAACAAAACCATCCTCAATAACACCAAGAGATGCATCGGTGTCAAGACGTTGGGATACCATTCTAGGGATGACGCATATTATAAAAGAAAAGAGCTATTTGTGACACAAAACGAAAATGGCTTCGTCCGTGCCTTCATCGACCTCAATAGAGATTATTGAGCATGGAATGACGAGGACGCGTTTTCAGAATGTGAATCAATTCGTAGTGAATTGTTTTTTAGCTATTGTCTGAGAGGATTCTGAAAACCGGTTGTTAAAAAAGAAATTCTCAAGCTTAAATTAAAGTGACATTTGCGTATTTGTGCCCCGAGCTTTTGAATGGATTTCTCGCACACTGTTTTTCCAAAGCTTAGAAAACAATGCACCTGGAGCCGTAGAAGCAAGCTAGTTTTTATCTAAATGTCCAAAGTATTGTATCCGCCTGTCTCATATAAGATCGATATCAAAAGCACAGAGATCTATCTATCTATCTATCTATCTATCTATCTATCTATCTATCTATCTATCTATCTGTCGGTTCGTCGGCAGCAGGTCTCTCAGCAATTCTATCCTGAAAACGTAAGGAAATACCAGGTGTGTAAGGAATAGACATTTTTTAAGCAGTGCCTGTTTCACCATACGTAACAATAATCCTAAGTGTCTTACTAGTGTCACTGCAGCCGTGCATGGTTTCTATCTGGGCTGTGCAAACTTCTAGGCCACAATAATACAGCCTTAACAGAATTTCAGCCTCTTGTGAAAAGAAGACTTACAGTACAGTAAAACTGCTAAGGTTATTAGAGACATTTTGTTGAGAGCACTTAATGTAAATATGTGTATTTACAATGTGAAGCAATATCCAACAAAAGTGATGTTTGCAATGTTTAGTTTTAGTAATGTTTTACGGCGCTTGCAACTGCATGAGGTCATATGAGCGCCAAGGGGTGGATGTCAACAGAGAAGTCCAAACGGGGAATCAGGTTTACTCTACTCACATCTCTAGCCTCAACAGCTCTAAGTCTGATTCCACTATCAACGCACCCCGAAAATAGTAGTTCACAGGAGAGTGACAAACATACAAAAGAAGTGGAGGGGGAAAAGAAGATAGTAAGGAAGAGGAGAAAAGCAGCAGTTCCCCCTTGTTGTTCCGGCACAGTAGGAGTATGACGTTGATAAATCAGCCCATTTACAATTCTACTGTGCACAAGAACATATAGTATCCCCCCCTTAGGAGTAGCCTTAATTAAGACCTCGGCGGCCTTCATTGATTTCTAGTGGGCGTATATAAATTAAAAAGCTCAAATAGCTCGAACAAAAAGCATAGTCTTGATAGTCTTGAAACTATAATAATATTATACATTGTGAGACATTATGGTGATATCATGCGCTCGTCAATATAATACAATCTGAGAAACAGGCACTTTTTCGCCAGTTTGGCAATTTTAATCGAATTTTTGTTTTTTGGCTCAACCCCTCCTTTGTCCAAAAAAAAAAGAAACATTGCCGTGTGAATTTTACAGAAAAATGTTTTTTAAAGGCACAAAATTATTGTATTTTTCAAGGACTCTTTAAATGTTGAAGTTACCAAACTTTGGCGGACATTTTCCTGCTAATTTCACCACTGAAACCGGGCGACATCATCTGCCGCAATCGCAAAAATCATTTTCTATTCAAGATAGATGGGTATTTCTTTTTTTCATTGAAAGCAGGGCAAATGAATAAGCTTTCAAGTGATACCAATAACTCCACATGCCAAAAATTGACGAGTGCCTGATTCCACCGCCTCGTACCACATATATCATATATATACATTTTTAGATATTTTACCATAGTTGAATTCCTCTCTTGCTATAGATGTGTCTTAGGGGAAGGAGGGGGGGGGGCGCTATGTCTTTGTTGTTGGGGTTAACCATTTATTGCTAAGATGGCGTTTTCCAACGTTTGTACAGACAAAATGAAATGCTTGCCCAAGAGAGTATAATGAAAGGCTATGATACTTTATTTTTAGAATAAAAACAAATCTTCCAAAACTTACCCTACAAAACAGTTTAAAAGACAGCAGCAAGCACAAGCGTCTACCCAACAGTGGAGGACTTAAGGATTCAAAAAGGAACTATACGGAGCCTGGCATAATTTAAAGTTGCAAGTATTCATCTGAAATCTACTTCCGCCTGTGAAAGAGTGGTTCTCTGCTGTGTATTCTTTGCTCTGTTTTTCCCCGTTCATATGTCTTCTCATTTCTTACCACAGAGCTAAGTTCAAACAAGTGCAAACATCTACACATAAGCGGATGGGTTAGCTCGTTAAAAAAAGTAGCGGACATATACTATGTCTGACTCCGACCAGCAATCCGTCCAAAGGGAATGCTTTGGCACATTTCTAGAGATCCTGCACAAATGAGACACACAGTGCATTATTTAAAACTATATTAATTTTGTTGCTTACTATCTTTTTTATTCAGACAAATAAGACAGAAGTCTACATGGATAAAGAAGTGATGCTTTTGTTTGTTTTTTATATGTCCCAAAGGTCGTCTTCAAGTGTTGTCGAGTTACTAGAAAGGGCGGCTTCGATGGCTTAAAGGGTTCATACGGAGCATTGTATTTAAAGTTGAACGATCTCATCTAAGAGCTGTATCCGCTTGTGGGCGGTTCTGAGTTGTTCATTCTTTGTTTTTGTTTTCTCCTTTCCAATTTTTTTCTCCTTTCACATTTCTTGTGACATTTTCTCTTTTCATATTTCTTTTAATTTTTATTACAGAGCTATATTATGCTCCAAGGTCTGTAATGTAATTTTCAACCACTGTTCCATCGCACACAGAAGACCCGTGTTCGATTCCCGTGTAGGAAATGTTTTTATCGAGTATCTCGGTCTTTCTGCGGAACGTTGTATCCATCCCTGTTATCTCAAGTTGACCCTGGTAGAAAAGGTCGAAGTTCACCTTCTAAATGATCTAAATTGTGTCGATGGGGATGTCAAACACACATTGGAAAATGTATGTGTGTGTGTGTGCATGTGTGTGTGTGTGTGTGTGTGTGTGTGTGTGTGTGTGTGTGTGTGTGTGTGTGTGTGTGTGTGTGTGTGCGCGCGCACCCGCATGTTTCTATGTATAAATCAAAGGCTATGTGTGTGTATGTGCGTGTTTCTTTGTTTATTTATTAGCGTTGAAGCTGAGGGTTAGCGTGGGAGGGAGGGTGGCGGTTCGTCTAAGACAAAGTGAGATCAGCAACCACATTGCTTGCCATTTTGTATAATATGTGTTCTTTTGCCATAACATCATTTTTACGATTAGGAATTGTTATACACTGGATGGGCTAAAATGCATGAAACGTACCATTGTGCAAGCTGTAGAAATCGTATTGTATTGTAAAGAGCCAGGGGCCATCAGGGAGTGGGTGCAATTACATTATATGTGAGTGATCTCTATTATAATTACTATTTTTATCATTATTATTATTGTTATTATTATTATTACTATTATTATTATTATTATTATCATCATCATCATCACTAAACAAAAATTCATTGCTAATGTTTGGTTATTATTTTTATTGCATTTTATTACTATTATTATTACTATTATTATTATTATTATTATTATTATTATTATTATTATTTATTATTATTATTATTATTATTAATATTATCTTTATCATTATTATTATTATCACCATATAATTATACTCCTGCGACTCACCCAACATCTTGAGCACAGCTTTTTTAGCCTTTGCCGCCGCTATTGCCGCCTGTTTGTTTTTCTTGCCACTAGCAAACTGATCCGTCTTCATAAGGGCCAGCCCTATAAAGATGTACATAATCGTGATGATGAATAGAGGCACCACAAAGAAAGCGAAAGTAGAGAACTGGAACATATACTTCATCCGGTGTCTCCACTGTGCCGGTATATTACAGAGGTACGAATCCGGAAGCGGTTCCCCAGTGCAGGGGTCAAAGACCTCGTGGAACATCCGGGTGTGGATGGGGTAGGGTAACGCGCACACACAGGCGATGACCCAGATTAAAATAATGATCTTGACCGCTCGAGAGAGGCTGCTCAGGGCCTGGGATCTGAGGGGGTGGCAGATGGCGACGTAGCGGTCAATGGTGAAAGCTGTGATGGTCAGCACGGAGGCGTAGGCGGTCATCTCGGACACGAAGGACTTTATGATACAGAAGCCGGTGCCGAAGATGAACGGGTACGCCTCCCAGATGGTTGACATCTCCTGGGGGAGAGCTGGGGACGAAATAAGGAATCAGATTGTTGGACAGCTTTTAAAATGACATAACACTAAAATTTTGATTTAGAAAAAAAAATTGCATAATTTTAAACTATAATATTGGACAGCTGTTAAGATGTTCCAAACCTAAATGTCTTCTTTATTATTTTTAAAATGTCAGTTTCTTAACTCTTTAAGGACGAAGCAGACATAAATAGCCGACAACAATAGACAAGCCAAAGTTGCAGAATATTTCGAACCATCAAACATAGACCAGAAACACAAATTTGCATATTTTATAATAGACATTATTGCTATCTGCCGTTCTAAGCGTAAGATAAAGAAAACAAACTTGAAAAGGTCGTAAGAAAAACGAAGTTATGTATCTTATAGAGGTCCAGAACATCGTGGCTCCGAGCGTTCAAAGACCAGAATGTACGTCCGCAAGGAGTTAAACTATGACGTTTGAAAACTGTTAAAATGTCACAACCGCCCCCCCCCCACCCACCCTCCACACCCCCCCCCCCACCCCCATATACAATAATTTGTTGTTTAAATTGCAGTTTCTTAATCTATGGTATTGCTTGAATGTGCTCCAGAAATATTAAAATGTTGTTGAAGTTCAGATTATAAATGTTGAAAAAAAAAAAACAGCGTAAAAAGGTACATCATAAGTTAGCTACAATTGTTAAATAGGTACATTTTAACATCTTGCCGACGAGATGTGTAATTTTGTCTGTCTGTTTGCTCGGTACAGTGTGAGTTTTTCCCCGTTTCACTGGCGCCTGTGGAGCAGCGGACAGAGTCACGCTTTGCTGTCGCACACAAGCCGGAGCTCGATTCCCGGGTGGGGAGTATTTTTATTGAGTATCTCGGTATCCTACTCAGCCCGCCTCCTAAATGATCTAAATTAGGTTGATCGGGGCGTAAAACACCTAATTGTGTTTCTTTTTAAACGTGTACCGTTTCTATTCTGTAAGTTGCATTCCACGCTGATCCCCTACTGAGCAAACAACAATGGATTGAGATCCGTAAAAACTCCTAGAGCTACTTAAATTCCACAGTCTGTTGTTGGATATTTAAACCGTCATTGCCCATCAGGCAACCCAGAAAAATATTAAAAGGTTGCCATAATTATTCTTGCAAATTACGTTCTTTGCTTTACAACGGAGATCTCATACAACTCTCACAATAGGATTTTGTTATTAGTCAATGAAGTTCATCGCAATATCGACTGCACACAGCTTGTAAAAGATATTGAAAAGAACGAGACAGTGCACGCAAATACGGACAGAATTATCTGAATTAATAATAACAATAGATAGCATTTGTATAGCGCATATCCCCGCTCAGCAGCAGGCTCTATGCGCTTTACACTATATTATTACCCCAGCAGACCATAGAACACTCCGAAACATTCTCAGCTTCCCGGGAATTATCATACTGTCGGTCTTTGACACCCTTACAGAAGTGCCAGAAGCATTCCAGGGCTCAGCCCATGCTCTGAGTGATTGTGGGGGTTCAAATCTATAATTACGCCTACCTTAGTGAACGCTTGTGTTTTTACTTAATTTAACGATGACTTGAGAGACAAAAATCAGGACATTGGATTCGTGCCATCATAAACTAGCACCAGATCTTCGATCACTGTTCTCCATTGGTTCCTTTGTTGGGATTTTTTCCAAAGAACTAAATGACCCCGATATTTCCACGTAACCCTGGACTTACATACACAACACCCTCCACCCACAGCCCCCCCCCCCCCCCCCATAAAAAACAACATACACAATACACACAACTAAGCTTGCCCTTTTCATTAAGGTCGAGAGGCTACGATCATTTCCGCTGTAAATCATGTTTGGGAATGGTGCTCGATAATACATGAAAGCGATAACGCAAATAATGGTGGCTATTTATTGTTCATCAATTTGGTTCGTTAAAATAATGCTCGTTCAAAGCAACTTAGGGCATTATTTATCTCTCTCGGGTCCACAGCACAATAAGGTCTCTAGACAGAGGAGGGATGATTTAATGTTCCAGGAATTCATAAAGATAAATATCATGAAAACCCTTCTTTGATCTCAAACACGAAAGTGCGCTCGTACACCATATCGATGGACAATATAATGATTGGGAAAATTGCACAATTGTATAGATGTTACGTCCCTTTTAACACGGTATGTTATTTAAAAGGCACAACATTTTAATTAAACCTCCACCTCCGATATGACCGCGCTTAACGGGCGGAGACCCTTAAATATTCCCCAAAACAACCGAACTTCAGGACGCTCCTTTGAGGATAAATTCAATCCAGAGCCATCTATTCCGTCGCCCAGCATGATACCAGTTCAGCTAACTACTGTTCTAGCACGGAAAAATGTAGAGAAAAAAGTAGGCAGGGAGCAATCAAGAGTCATGTTTACGGGGGGGGGGGGGGGTTCTTGTGATTGGTATAAAACAAATACTAGGATTCTGTCATTAAAAGTAGTAGAAATAATGAACTCGGACATTGACGTGCAAGAATTTTATTTAATATATAAATATATAAAGCGATGTAGGCTAAAAAATTGTTATTAAAAGAAAAAAAAGAAGCGTACAGGATTAACTGGACGACAAAAATAAAAACAACAATCCCGAAAACGACAAGAAAGTGACAGGCTTCATCCAATTATCATGCACACAGTTGCAAGGTGCCACCATACAAACTCGCTCTTTGTTCTACTATTTTGTGTTAACCTCTTTTAGAAATGTGTCTCGACATGGTGGGATAAGGTAGTCATCACCTTATTTTTGCCAATTTAGTCATTAGTATAATCGTAAAACTAGGAAATTATTCTTGCTTTTGATTTTTATTCAATACTCATCTTTCTTGAATAGAAGTCCAACTATTTGCGAAAGAAATAGATGGGGTTCAATTCGCGTCAGAGGTAAAAGTAGTGAGAAAGTGACTGCCAAAATTTAGTGAGTTCCAAAGCTGACTGCAATCTAGCATTCCATTTGCTTTTAGATAACGTTTTTTTGTGTGTAAAGATCCCTACAGAAATGTACACAAACACTGTCGATATGAAAAAAAACCCCAAGCAATTAAAAGTTGCTCAGCGGGCGGAAAAAAACATATCGGTTACTAATTTTTTAACAACTGGAAAAAGTTTAACATTGTAGTAGCCCCCCCCCCCCCTCTCCCCCCCCCCAATCCCCCCCACACACACACTCACTCACTCAAAACATTTTTTTTTAAAAATTGCACACACCATTTTCCCTCACATTCATCCCTGACAACTATCCTGAGGTCAAAAATTGCCCTGACACTGACAAAGAATACCCCAAAGTGTTCGAGGCTTCACTCGGAGCTCCTCAAATTGTAACATCGTGACCTAATTGCGAGAGGCGGAAGAAAAGATTCGTATTCAAGATTACAAGATAGTTAATGATCTCAACGCCAAGATTGACGTCCAATCACATGTCATCTCGTCTTGACCGGAAGTCAGGAAGTAAGTGGTCTCCCTTGTTTCGGCTGGCTAGAGCTCCTGCACTTAGGGAAAATGCAGAGGTCGAGAAAATACTTCCATTAAACTGATGTTACTTTCCCATAATTCCATTTCCTGGAACTAACTCTTCGGCCTTTAAAAAATGTAGCCATAATCTCTTCAGCCTTCTTGTTGCGATCTTCGTAGCTCAAAAGAAAAAAGGCATAACTTTTATTCCGACACATTTCAAATAAAAAAAGTGGAGTAAAAAGGAGAGTGTTTTCACACATTTGTGAGGCAGCGTGATAGAATCAGGCTCTCGTCAATTTTTGGGCATGTAAAGTTATTGGTATCATCTTAAAGCTTGTTTACTTGTCTTTATTTGGATTAAAAAAATATCCATTTATCTTCAATACAAGTCGAGATATTTGCAAAAGAAGGAGGTGGGGTCACCTGTTTTCAGAGGTAGAATTAGTGAGAAAATGGCCGCCAAAGATTAGTTATTTCCTTAACTTAAGAGTCCGTGGTAACTGATGATTTACATTTTTATGCCTTTAATCAAAGCTTTTCAGAAAAATCCACACATACATGAGTCCTTTAATGGGCGTGAAAGGTGTTGTGCCAAAAAACAAAAATTTGATAAAAATTCACAAACCTGCAGAAAAATGCAAGTTTCTTCACTTTGATTATTTTGACGAGAGCCTGATTCCACCACGATGCCTCACATTTCTTAATGAGCCATTATTTTGTGTATGATAAATTAATGTCGTCGACATTCCGAACACGTTTCCTCACAATATTATTAGATCTAGATATCTAGTCTCTCAAAGATTACTAACAAATTGTTAATACACACCAACACTCACGACCATACACATCCAGACACACATACACTTCCTCTCTCCCCCTCCCTCTCTCTCTCTTTCTCTATGTCTCTGTCTCTCTTGTGCTCTCTCCCTTATGCTCTCTGTCTCTCTCCCAGTCTCTCTCTCTCTATATCTCTCTCTCTCTGTCTCTCTCTCTGTCTCTCTCTCTGTCTCTGTGTTTATGTGTACGTTGTGCATGTATACATGTGTGTTTGTATGTGCACGTGTGTGTGTTTGTGTGTGTGTTTGTGTGTGTATGTATGTGACTGTGTGTGTATTTTTATATACACGTATACGTACACATGTGTTTGTTTGTATGAGAGAGATTGTAATAAAGATGTGTGGGGGTGGGGAGAGAAAGAGAGAGAGAGAAAGAAAGAGAGAGAAAGAGAGAGCGCTAAAGAGAGAGAGACTCTGTTTGAAGGAGATAGTGAAGGAGCGTGTGTGTGTGTGTGTGTGTGTGTGTGTGTGTGTGTGTGTGTGTGTGTGTGTGTGTGTGTGTGTGTGTGTGTGTGTGTATACACTCGCACGCAATACATCAATCTGGATATTCTTCGGTTGTCTTTGTCTCTCTTTCGTTCTAGGGTAGTTGACACAGAGTTCTTCTAATATTATTTAAGTATTCTGAAAAAAACAAGGAATGTTATTGCGCTTTCACGCACAAGCTGCTCCGTGATAATATCC